GGGGGGGGGGGGGGGGGGGGGGGGGGGGTTCGGGCTCAGGGGTGAAGGCTACCAAGTGTAGGGTTTAGGGTTTGGGCACGATTTGGCTGTGTTCTGTTGTCAATGGTCTTTATCAGGCCGGAGTGGCTGTGGAGCCCACTTCAAGAACCTAAACATCAGGCCCTTTGGGCTTGTTTTGGGCATTGGCGGTTTATGGTTTACAGGGTTTAGGGCATGCTTGTTCATGTGTTGAGCACGTAGTTGCTCATCAGGTTCATAGTTTATTGCCATGTGTGTTCTTCCATGAGTGTTGTCGTCGGCTACTTGCATTTTGCACTTGCTCGGTTGCTTGCATTCAGGGAAAGGACGTGCAGAAGAAAACAAAGGTGCTGGCTCAAATCATGCTTCTCATGCGTGACGAGGCCAAAGGTGGGTGGGAGCCCTTGAATACCACAAGATAAGTAAAAGAGATCCCATAGGCTCGAAACGCGTCAAGAATCTGTCACATGACAATATCGAAGCCAGGAATAGTTAGTCAGACTATTCCCACTCTATTCTAATAGGGCCCCTACTTATAGTTATACTATATTAAGCTAGCCAGCAGGAGGCAGTATCACCTAATGCCCGAACCTTAACAAGTAATTAACTCTAAAGCCTTGAGTGTGCCGGTTTGGGAATTCGAGGGTTTCGTCGAAAGCCGGGTTGGGGTCCGTTAAAGGTTTTAAAGGCTATCCCAACAGCCACCGTAAGGGTTACTACAACGGCGACAGAAAGGAGTATCTCTAAGGTTTATTGCGCTTCAACACTGAGGTTCTCCAAATTCATCTCCGAGATGTTCACAGGCTGCGAAAACACTTGGCTTATAGAGCATAAAGTAGAGGCCTGATGACATATGGCCTTAATTAATAGTTGTTATAGTATCTTGTCGGGTAACCAATTTAAGTACCCCAAAAAACTTTAAACCTTGAACCATAAATTATTGGGTCCTTTGGACCCTTAGGGTTACCAAAAAGCCTTTTGCTAGCAAAGGGCTCTGTCAAGCGTTCGGGAACGGCTCCGGGAGGGGCCCGGGTTCAAGCCCTGGGGTTTAGGGTTGAAGACCCTGAATCCAAATTCCGTCGGTTTATGATGATGATGATGATGATATATATATATATACATACATACATACATGTATATTTCCTGCATTTATCCAAAGTAAGGAATATAGCAGAATCCCCATAGCTTAGGGTCCTTAAGGTAAAGCAGGATTTCTATCATCAACAGTAGTCTTGACTTTCGTGTCTCTGATGTATCATGTCTTGCACTACACACCGGGTCTGTAGGAGGCATCTAAGCAGGTGCGCCAGGTTGATTGCATGTTTGACTAAACCCGAAGCCTAGAGCCCAGAACTTCCAAAATCCCTTGATTAAGGAGTACTAGTAAACGGGCCTAAGAGTTGCCTATACTAATTTTTTTTGGGGGGGGTGGTTCCTTATTATGGTTGCAGTAGAATATATACCCAGCCAGAAGCCCGAAGCTCTCAGCTCTAAACCTCTATGGGCCTGGGGCCCTACCTGATGCTGACGATTGGACGGGAGTATTCAGGTGCTCGCCGAAAAAAAAGGCTGGTTCGAACTTGACTGTTGTGCTGCCATGAGGCAGAGTTGTGAGCCTTATAAGCCTTACCCTAACCCCAAATAACCTACCTTTTTAGTTCAATGAGTCAATGACTTATATAAAGAAATCATAATGGGGAACCCTAAAAGATAGGTTCTTTCGGGTCCAGGTAAGCCCCAAAAGAAACCCTAAACCCTTGTGGGCGCAGGCTGAATGTGAAGAGCGGTCGCTCTCCGCCGTTGTCATCACCCTGGCTGCTCCCCAAAGCTGGACTGCCCTGTGCCACGAACAGCTCAAGATTCATCAAGGAGGAATGATAAGGGTTTCGGCTTTGATTAGGGATTAAAGCGGAATAATACCTTACTATGGTCTACCCTCAAAGAGGAAGAAGGGTTTAAGGTTTAGGGTTTAAAGCGGAAGAAGACCTTGATATGGTGCACGTATGACTGGAAGTATATCCCTAAAGCCCTCGTCTATGCAAATGGGAAACAATGACCACGGCAACACAACGATAGCTTACTTTCGACCTCACTGGCATCCATGGAACTGACATACTGCCTACTCCGATTCCGTTTGGTTGTAAAAATATCTAGCCGCTAGCCCCACAAGCCCGCATGAATCTGGAAGACCCGTTGTTTTAAACTTAGCATGAACAGTACAAAAGACTTCAACATACAACGGACGGGCATGGGATGCCCACAGACACAGCGAAGCGCCCCGGGTGCATAACCGATACTTGGGACTTCAGCAGGATACGAGTTCAACCAAGAATCCGCAACGTGGTAAACCCTAGAATGCACTTGGGAAAGGCTTTCAACAAATAAACGAAAGCAATGCTATGGAGGTTGTTGTTCAGAGTCTTGGACAGGTACGACTCAAAAAGGAGATAATGTGGAATTCCTACAGATTGTTCACAGGTTAGCGAGCAGGTGGCTTGTGTAACAGAAGCGGCTAGATTTATTGATGTCGGGCTTACTGTGTTTTTTTGGAGATCGGGATGTCCACAGTCGGAGTCTTACCCAACGTCCCGTTGGAGATGGGATTGCTCTGAGGAGTGGCTTACTCGTGCATGAGACTCCCCACAGTCCCAGATTCCAAGTATTTTGCGTGTTGCGTCGGGCTCTTTTCCTGTTTTGGGGCGAGTCTGTTGGCAATGTCCACCCACTGTAGATGCTCTAAACCCTAAACCCTAAACCGCCTAAGACACCACCGAACATGTCAGGTGTAAAGGGAGGAAGCCCATGCCCCAGGCCCTTATAACCTAAGCAAAAGCCCTCACCTTGAAATCCGCGCCCTAAGCCGCTATCCTCACAGACTATGAGTGCGCACTATACCAATAAACATCGGAAGACTGCAACTGGCAGTAGTATTGCTGCAGGCCATGCATGAACACCTTGATGTAGGGGCCTAAACAATTAGCAATACTATTTTGGGAATTCCTTACTATAATTGCAGTAAAATAGGCCCCAAAACCCTATTTTTATTATCAAGGCCCCTACATTGCTTGGACGTAGTAGGTTGGGCCGCTGCCACCTTATGCACGGCCAAAGCGCGGGTCCAGAGGCGTCGCAAAAAGACAACCCATGCGTATCCTTGGGCTTGCTGCTTCCTTCCTAGGTAGTCTTAGAGACCTCTTAAACGGGACCCTTCTTAACCCTACTTATGGCTCTCTTAAAGGGGACCTTATTGAGAGGGTCTTTCTCCCTAAGGATGCCCCGAGTCCTAACTCCCATTCCTATAGTTTGCAATGTTTGTCCTCATGGCCCGACGTGCTCTTTCCGCACCGTTTACCAACCACAGCACATACTCCGGGGGGTGAGGTTGCCCTACCCTCAAAGAGTGCTTTCAACAAGGAATGAAGCAACTGCCGCTGGGAGTCTTGCCCTAAACCATAAACCCTAAACCTTGCTTTCTCAACTGTTCTCGGGGCAGCAAGGCTGCCACCCTATGTACTTCACCTACATCCTGAACCCTAAACCCTAAACCGTACATCACCAACCCACAGGAACCTCAGCAGCATCCTCTAATTGGAGATTCGCGTATTCTTCACCTGTAGCTTGCGCCGCACCGCACCAGCCTTTCAACGGTTTGGGCATAGACTACAATGGGTACAGCGGTTACTTGGGACGAGCTCCTTTACCTCAAGTTCTGCAACGATCATGCGAGGTTCATCGGCCACAGCCCGCATACAGAAGAGTTAGTACATCCATAGTTCACCCATACCTTCGCATACAATGCCGGCGCTGCTGACACTAACCCCTGTGCATGATCATAATGAGCAGGAGGTTTGAGTCGGGGGGTCAAATTCGGATCCAACACCCACTTGGGACGATCGAAATGGCCGTGGCACGACTCCCCGATGCCACGCATCACCTGATGCCCCTGCGACTTAAGTGGCGAACATTTTGGGTTCAGGGCGTGGAGCTTTTGCTCAACAGTTATAAATGAGGGCGTTTAACTTACTGTTTGTTGGCGGGCTGGGCATTGCAGGTATAAGTTGGGGGAGGGGTAGCTTAGCGCTTGACAATGGTGTTTAGAAGGTGTTGTAGCCTCTGTTGTTGGTGTTACGGGGGCTTGAGGTTCATGGCTAGGCGTAGTTTGTTGTTTATTGTTTTGCAGGGTGTGTTGATAAGTGCGCTACATGGAAGTATCAGGTGTTTGGGACTTTTTACAGTTAGGACGACCAAGGGTTGGACAGATCCTATCAGCGGGTCCATATGTTCAAAGAGCATGTAGAGGACAAGTTTAGGATCCTTAATGACTTCACGAAGTTCCATAGAACCTTTCCAGTAATCGTTAAAGAACCCCTGCAGCAACGCTTACCGAACTTTTATCGAACCCTTCTAGTAGCCCTTGACATAACTTCGTAGCGATTTCTGGGGGGGGGGGGGGGGGGGGGGGGTTCTTCACAAGGCCTGAGAACGCGCAACTATAAAGCCCGGCACCCCCCGGAAGCCCAGGGGTTTAGGGTTTAAGGTTTAGGGTTTAGGTTTAGGGGTTTAGGGTTTAGGGTTTAAGGTTTAGGGGTTAGGTAGGGGTTAGGGTTTAGGGTTTATAGGCTATGGTTCCTCAAGGGTCTATGTACTCGTACAGCACAGAACCGGACATTAGGGTACTTCCTGTATCTAGGACCCGCCTGAAATGCCTAGGTACATGGACGCACTAAGCCCCAATAACCACTGTTGAGACTCTTAGAAGGAATCTTGAAAGGAAGTCTCAACCCTAAACCCGAAACGTTATGCGCGGGCAGATAAGAAGTAGGGTTAGTATTTCGGGTTCAGCCTATTTAGGGTGTAGGGTGTAATGCAGGGTTTAGGGTGTAGTTGAGGGTTCAGGGTTCCATTTCGGAATTACAGTTAGGGCTTAATTTCATGGTTCTGGCTTGATGGTTTGACGGTTAGTTTGGGGTTTATGGTCTGTGCTTTATGCATGCGTTCCTCAGGTTTGGCTGCCTTCGCCCACTGGACCTGCTCCGCCTTGGTAGGGCCAGTCGAATCAAAGACAGCATTCATTTCAAGCTGTTCTTTGTCACCCAGAATATATACTACCATCATAGATACATGCGTTATATATATATATATATGTATATATGCATTCTTTATCACCCAGAGGGTCCCTGTATACTACCATTATGGAATTGGGTCCCGCAAGACCTTCCCTACTACTTTTTTGAGGACCTAATTCCATTATAAGTGGTGTATGGACCCTCTCATGGAGCCTGTCCTGTTCATTCCCAGTATAGAACTGTCAACAGATTTTTGGGCTCAATGGCAAGGGTTCATCTGTCTGCATCACTGACAGTTGTAACCCTCATCCCTAAAGCGTGAGCGTAGTTGTTCGAAGCCCTGAACTACAGGTTGGGCCCAGTCCTTAAACTCTAACCCTAAACCCTAGACTCAACAGCTGAAACTCTGACAGCTCCTAAACACTGAGACCTAAGCCCTAAACTTTCGCGAATCCCGGGTAATATAGAAGCCTGAATGCTTAACAGTACGGTTCCTTATTACAAGTATACTATAGTACCACCAGAACCCGATTCCAGTTATGGATGCCCCTTTGTTATCCCTCATGGTAACTTTGATGTTGGCTCCTCAAAAAAGGACCCCTGCTTGAAGCATTAAAAGCCCAAAGGGTCCGATGTACCTATATA